CCTCTCTCTCTGCCCCTCCCCCGCTCGCGCTCTGTCTCTGTCTCAAAAATAAATAAAAATATTAAAAAAGAAAAAAAAAAGAGGAAGGAAGGAAGAAAAAGCAAACAGCCTGGATTTTCAGAAGCCTCAGCAAATTTAGCATTTCCTTAGGCTCACCCCATTGGTACGAAAAAGAAGACCCTTGGAGGGAAAGGGGCGCAGCTGGATGCTGCTAGTGGAGGGGGAGGGACAAATCCGCACCCCACTTCTAGAGGCGCGTTGGCGACTTCTTGGCATGTAGCCGAAGGACATGATGTAGGCAAAAAGGGTCAGCCCGACAGTGATTAAATGGGGGAAAATAAGAAACCACGTAAGCGTCCAACTAGAGGGAACCGGAGTAGCTCCATGCCACGGAACACGAGATGGCCACTGAAAGGGAAAATACATATTTACTGTCCCAGAGAGCCGTGCAGGGGCCCACTACTGGGTGAAAAACGAGGAGACCCTATGAAGTATGTGTGCAGCATATGGTTCTGTATGCATCAACGTAGTTTTTACGTTTATTTGTATTTTTCAGAGAGAGTGTGAGTGGGGAAGGGGCAGACAGAGAAAGAGGCACAGAATCCACAGCGGGCTCCAGGCCCTGAGCTGTCAGCACAGAGCCCGACGTGGGGCTGCAACTCACAAACAGCGAGATCATGACCTAGGCTGAAGTCGGATGCCTAACCGACAGAACCACCCAGGCCCCCCTACGTCAATATTTTTTTAAAGTCTGGAAGGCGACACATAAAAATGTTAACGGCGCTCACCTTTGGCGAAATTATGAGTAACTTTGAGTTTAGTTTTGCTTATTGAAATATGCTAAGTTTTTGAGTTTCTATTACATTTGATATTTAACAGCCCAGTGAATCGTCAGAGCAACCCCTAACAGTAGGTTTTGTTACTATCCCCATTTACAAATGAGCAAACCGAGGCTTGGCAAGGGGAAGGGAAAGGAATGTGGAGTGGAACCCAGATGCCCTGGCCCCAGAGCCCAAGCCCCACCCCTGCAGAGTCCACCCCGCCTCCAGGGGCTTGATGACTGCTCCGGGCAGCCCTGGGGCCTCCGCTGTACTTACGCTCAGGCTCTGGCTTCTCCGTGTCACCCACTCTCAAGGGTCGTGCTTTGGGCTCTTCTTTGTTTCTCCGAATGGGGGCGTTGAGCTCCTCGTGATAAACTGGATCGAAAGAGACCAGGGGACACGTCAGACAAAATACGGGAACTTGGGGGGCGGGGGGGGGGGGGGGGGGGGGGGGGGGGCAAGCCAACGGGACAGGGCTGCTTGCCCAGAGCAGCTTACATCGGTTGTGCTGCACGTAATTCACGGCCATGTTGGTGGGCACGAAAGACGTCTCGCTGTCTTTCTTCTTGTTCTGCTGCTCTGCCAGCAGACGGGCCTTGGCATCCTCCGTGGAAATGATATTTTTTATTTTTGCGCTGTGGGGAGAAGGGAGCCACGCCACGTATTCAGTCCTCCCGCCTTTGGTTCTCAGACAGAACTGCCAGTCAGGCTGGAAACGCACCGGTGCATGAAGAAATCACCCTCTGGAGCACAGGGCTCCGCAGTTTCCCAGCTCGTGTGTTCTCACGGCTGTCGAAGATGCATTATCTATCTATTGTCTTTTTTTTCTTTTTAATGCTTATTTTGAGGGAGAGAGAGTGCATGCGAGTGGGGGAGCGGGGGAGAGACAGACACTCCCAAGCGGGCTCCACACTGTCAGCAGAGTCCGACATGGGGCTCGATCCTACGACCCTGGGATTAGGACCTGAGCTAAAATCAAGAGTTGGGATGCTTAACCGACTGAGCCACCCAGGCGCCCCTTACTGTCCTCTTCTGATCAAGGGGAAACTGAGCCCCAGAGAAGGAAAGAAAACTACCTAAGGCTCGAAGCTAGTTCCAGAAAAGAGGCGAGGATCCAGAAGCCTCCCAACTTTCTCTTACGCCCAAAGAGGATTCTGACTGTCATATTTCTTCCATGACAATCCTGTTTTAGAGCAGGTGTTTTGCAAAAATGAAAAGGAGGCTCATGGGATGGGTAAGCCTTTAACATGGCTCCTGCTAGAAGAGAACAGAGGACTACAAGGGCCTGAGCAGAACAGCCGAAGAGCTGTGAACAAAGACCACGTAAAAATAAACGCTTGCACACAAATAATCCTTACGTTGTATACCTGAAACCAGCATGATGTTATGTGTTTCTTAATTATATCTCAACAAACAAAACACCACGCTTTTGCTTTCGGGAGACCTTCTCTAGCATCTCCCTAGCAACGCTGACCTATCCTTCGGACGCTCTGGGCACAAGCATCTCCGCCTACCCGAGAAAATAGAGTTATTTGTGGGTTTCCAAGGAGACGGGTAAGAAACAGTCCCCTTAGCCGGAAAGCAGAGCGCTCTTCCGTGGGCCCCGGGCAGGAGAGAGGCTAGATCGGGGTCTGAAACGTACTCGATGCCTAGGTCCACCTCGGGGATGCCGCTTAGCATCTGGTTGGAAAGCATCTCTTCGGTCTTCTTGGCTGAGGAGACACGGATGTTTTCCGGAAGTTCGTACAGACAGTCCTCTGCATTCTTTGGCTTGACTTTCTGTTCCTCGTGTTCCACGATCCCTTTCCTCTTCTTGAGCTCTGTCTCAATGTACTTCATCCTGAAATGAGAAACCCACAGGCCTCAGGGAGAGGCGGGAAGCTCACAAAACCTCTCTTTAAAATGAGTGGTCCCCAACACTGGCCCACAGAGCAGTGATGGCCCAGGAGTGTTCATCAGTCCGTGAAAAAATGAGAAACGTGAAAATTAACTCGAGTTTTTTTCACCACGCAGAACTTTTTTTTGACTTTAAAGCACCAACCTCTGTGGTGAGATTGTGTCCTCCCAATCTATTGCTGTTAATAGATGTTAAGGTTCGCTGAAAACAGAATGCAACGGTCGACGGTGGTCATTTGGTTAACAGTCTCGTCAGTGAAAAGGTGGGCAAGTGCAGTGTTTTATTCCTACAATATTTAGGGGAAAACTATTACTAGTCGGGGCATCTAAAATCCCAAGAACCGGGGCGCCTGGGTGGCGCAGTCGGTTAAGCGTCCGACTTCAGCCAGGTCACGATCTCGC